AGTCAAACACTTATGAGTTATGTTTCTTCAACACACACACACCGGAGCTCGGGCGCACTCGGGGACGGGGGCGGGAGCTCTATCCTCTATGGGCGGAAGACCAAGAGAGAGAGCAGTGACCCCGGCTAGGGGGGTGCGCGGTCGCAGGGAAGGGGCCGTAAATCACGCGTGAGTTTAACCGTTTTGGCACCGCGAATTCTTCTCCAAAGCGAAGCCCCCTCTCCTAGCTAACCCTCGGAGACCCGTGTTTACTTTACGGCCCCTTCCCTGCGACCGCGCACCCCCCTAGCGCCTAGGGGTCAGGGCTCTCTTGGTCTTCCGCCTGTAGAGCTCGCCCGCCCCCGTCCCCGAGTGCGCCCGAGCTCCGGTGATAAGAAACATAAATAAGTGTTTGACTGATAACAGACCGATATCCAATTCACACACACACCTCACCGGCATGGAGCATGCTGCTAGGACACACACACAGGGATACCGCGTCCTGCGCCGAGGACGCAGACACGCACTCTCCCTCTCCCCTCTCGTTCTCTCCGTCGCCGACCCCGCAGTCGGACACACACACACACACACACACACACACACACACACACACACACACACACACACACACACACACACACACACACACACACACACACACACACCTGTCTATTCATACACACACCGAGTTGTTGCGGCAATCGCACCGCTATGCCAGCCCCAACGAAATGCGCGCGGTTGCGGCGGCGGGGGTTTTAACCACCCAAGACTGCTTTCAGACGCTTACGCCAATTTCCGCTCAACCTGCGCAAATCGTGACCGGCGGAATTCGCGGACCCGAGGAGTCTCGAGCTTCAGCTGGCGAATCATGCCGCTCTCGGCACAGAAGCAGCGCGAGCGCCGCGCCGCGCAGCGCGCTGCCGAGGCTCAGGACGCGGCTCGCGGGCAGCGCAACCGCCCGGCGCCGAGCCGGTGCTAGGCCGCCTCCGCTGCGCCTGCTTCCTTGCGCGCCGCTGGACGTCGGCCGAGAAGACCGCTTCCCTCTGGGGACCCGACTCCGCGAAGATCGCGCGCGCGTCGTGAGTGGCGGCGCGCGCGCGATCTCCGTTCCCGGGCACGCCGGTCGCAGTGGCATGGGCTCCCAGGCTCAAAAGCAATCCCGTCAACAGCGAGCGAGCGCCGCCGCTGCTCCTCCTCCCGCCGCCGCTCACCAAGACTCGGTGCCGCCGTTCTCGCCGCCGCCGCCGCCGCCGCCGCCGCCGCCGCCGCCGCCGCCGCCGCCTCGCGCCTCGCCTCCGTCACCGCCGCCCTCCATCTCGCAGCGGCGCGTCCCTCTGATATGGCGCGGGCGCCTCGCTCACCGGCGCCTCGCCGCCGCCCCCCCCCCTTCTCGCGCCGCTCCGCTCGTGGCCGCCGCCTCCCCTGTCAATCCCGCCGCCTCCCCTGTCATCCCGCCGCCCGCACCACCGCCGCCACCGCCTCGCGCCTCGCCGCCGCCGCCACCGACCGCCCTCCCCTGCGTCGCTGAGCGCGGTGCAGGGGGCGAGCCCCCGCTGCGCAGCCTCACCGCAGTGCACTGCGCTCTCCGCGCCCCTGACGATTAGTGAGGAGGTGGTGTTGCACAGCATGGAGCTCGGCGAGCGTTTAGCGAGCCCCTCAGCTAGAGCGAAATGCTCCCGCGCGAGTATGTTTTTGCCGCAGGAGCCTGTTTGCCAGGCTGGCCAGATCGGACGCGTGGAGGGAGTCTAGGATGGGGAGAGAGGGAGGGGTAGAGGATTGGTTGGTGAACAGTCTGTCTGTGTCTAGGTTAGAGAGCAAAAGGGATAGAGGGAAGAAGGGAGGGAGGGGCGTTTCGTTCTAAATTGATGAGAGGACTAGCACTTCACCGCCCGCGCACACTCTGCCGCCCATCCCTCCAAACGGGCTTCTTGGGTGGAAAGAGATGCCACCGGCGGCGTAAAAGAAAGAAAGAAAACACACAACCCAAGGGAGGGATGGGAGAACGGCACGCCGCCACCACACAGGGATTTTAAGGAGAGGAGGGTGTGATGCGCTAGCCGTCGCCCACCCTGGGGGGTCTGCCTCCTCGTATCTCTTTTCGCAGTCTGCGGTGTGTCCGGTTACTCAAAGCGGTCTGGTTTCTTCTCGACGAAGTCTACCTCCAGTATCGTAGTCTTTGTTAGTATCGAGGTCTCGCGAGTTTTGGGGGTTCTCGGCGCCGCGACAGCGCTGCGAGCCGCGCGATGCCACGGCGCTCGGCCTGCTGAGAGAAGAGCTTCCCGGACGGCAGTGACAAGTTACCCGACATCAATCGTCGACGGCAACCTCGAGAACTGCGCCTCCAAAGTCGCCCAGATTCGCCTCTCGCGGCACGCTGAGTTAGTATCGCCGGTGCGCCAGCAGGCTCTGCTCCACAGCAGGGCATGCCCGACTGGCTCCTGCTAGCCGTGCGTCCTGGTGGCATCCATTGCCAGCTCAGGTAGCCTCAGGAGGTCGCCTCGCGCACGGCGCGGCGTCGCACAGCACCGCTCAGCGTTACTACCGAGTTAGTATCGTCGACCCACAGAGACTGCTCTTCTGTAGGTGGAGCCGACAAACGCCGGCCGGGTCGGCGCCGCCGCCCCCATCGCCGCCGCCGGGGCGGCGGCGGCCTCGGCGGACCATCCGGCGCGCCGCGCGCCCGTCGGGGAGGTGTTCACCACCCCTGGCTCCTCACCCCGCCACGCCTTCGTGCGGACGCCGTGGCACCCACCTCAGGCGCCGCTCGGACTCGGTTGACGGCCACCCAAGTGCTTGGCTCATGCCAAGCCGACCGGCAGGCGATTCCCAGTCACTGCTAGGCTAATCTCGGGCTGTCCTGCGTCAGTGTGGTGCCGTGAGGGGCGCCGCCCCCAAAACTACGATCGTTAGTACCGTGCGGGGGCAGTGCATTTAATTCTGTCAAAAATCCAAATCTGCTCCGTGGCGCTTATTGGGCTAGGATCATACGTCCGGGAGGCCCCCCATGCGTGCCGTAACGATCGACAGCGATCTGGCTACTCTGTTCACGTTCACACCTCGTAAACCCCCCATTACCCCGATACAGGAGGTAGCCCTCGGCGCCGGATCGTCGTCGAGACCGGATCGTTGAGGCGTCCTTGGCAGAGCACACATGACGTGCTCTGCCGTTGTGCTCTTCTTCGTCGCGTTCGCGACTGCCGCGCAGGGTGCTCCCCATTTCTTCGGTGTCGTGCCGCACCGAGGGCGGCTCCTCTCTGCTGCGCCTGCTGAGGGGGGCGGTGGCGATGAGGGAGATAAAGGCGGGGCAAAGGGTCGCGGCCGACGGAAGGGCGGACGGCATAACCGGCGACGCCGAAAACAGGACAGCGCGACAGCCGTCAACTCCACCGCCAGCACCGCCGACCAAGCTGCGCCGACCAAGCCAACAGGCGACGAGAAGGGAGTTGGAGAGGAAGGGAAAGTGGATCAGCCGAGCCGGCGGAATAAGCGGCGCGGCGGCAAGCGGCGCAAGAAGCGCTCGGGGGGCGCGAGCCAAGAGGCTGCAGCGCCAGCCGAGATCGCCGCCGCGGCGGAGGAGAAGAAAGAGGAGAAGGCTGCGGACCTTCCCGACACGGCAGATGCTGCAAAGGAGGCGAAGGAGACGGAGGGTGCTGCCGCGGCTGGTGAGGGTGGGCGTAAGCGGCGGCGGACGCGTCGCAAGGATGCAGGACAGAAGAGGAGCTGCGGAGTGGGGACGCACGCGCAGGCTCCCCACGCCTCCCCGTCATTGCACAGGCCAGCGCAAGCAAGGCCGGCGCAAGGCAAAGTCTCGCGCGACCGCCGTGCCGCCGTCCCCGCCCCCGCCGCCTCCGCCCGCTGCTGCGGAGGCAGGAGGCGGCGAGGAGGTGGACGGCGAGCTCACGGGCAGCGGCGTCAAGGCGGCCGACGAGGCGCCGCCCCGGCCGCGGCGATGACGCCCCGCCCTGGATGCACACCTCTCCGCTACCTCTGACGGCGCGCGCTAGGCGTCCAACGAGGCCCCCGCGAGCGAGCGGGCGAAGAGGGTCGGGCGGTGCAGCCCGCGTCGTAGCAGTGGTAGACGTCCGAGTAGACGCTGGTGAAGAGGTCGCGAGCGCGCCGTCGTAGGCGCGGCAAGCGGCGTGGCCGGCGCAAGCGGGGCGGTAAAAGTGGCGGCGACGAGGGAAGCAAGGGCGACAGCAGTGGCGAGGGCAGCGGTGGCGGTGGCGGTGGAGCCGTCGATGGCGGCGCAGTGGTCACGGGTGGGGTAGCAGGCGAGGGCGACGATATGGCACAGGCGCAGGCGGCGGCAGCGGTTGCGCTAACGGAGGCGAAGCGAGCCATGGCACACGTGTTTAGTGGCACTGCCTCTGCCGCCGCTGCCGCGCCGCACCATAGCGCGTTCATCGGCGTCGCGCTGATCGCTGCCAAGCTGGTCTGCTGCTGGTGCTGCTGGTGCCGACGCGCAGCGAGGCCGAGCCCTTCGCCATCTTTGGCCGCGACGGGCAAGTCGCGCGGCATCGCGCTGCGCGGGGGCGCGGGCCCGTCGATTGAATTCTAGCGCAAAAAGCGTCCGAAGCCCGCTGCAGGTAACCCGGATAGCCCCCTGTGCCTCCACCTCCCGAGGGCGGGTGATAGCGTGCCCATGTCGCACTAGTGCGTGAGGTGCGTGTTTCCCCGCGGGCCCCCGCCGCTCTTCTTGTTTCTACGTAAATGTCTCTCCTTCGGGGCCTATGTGCATGTGCATGGATATGCGGTAGCACCCCCACCCACCCGGCGCAGCAGCACATTCCAGTTTCCGATTCCACATGCACATGCACATGCACACATGTAGCATGTGCATGTCGAATTAAGTAATATGCATGTGCGTGTTGTGTTGGGCGTGCCACGCCGTTTCAATCGTCCGGTGAGCCGCCTCCGAGGCGTGGCAAGGCCTCCTTCTCCTCCCTGGCAAGCTCTAGGAGGGAGAGACCGCTGCCGGGCGCGACTGGCCCTCTCGACCTCAACCCATCGCCTGCTCTTGCCCGGCGCCTGCCCTGCATCCGCCGCACGAGCGAGTCCCAGAAGCCGGCGACGAGGTCGGAGAGCTCGGCGCTGCCCGCGTCGTACTTGCGCCGCTTCGCCTCGTCCGTGAGTACCTCGTGCGCGAGGGTGACCTGCTTGAATATCAGCTCGGCCGACAGCCTCTCGAGCTCTGGCAGTGACGCGCAGCGATCTGGGTGCCACCGCATCGCCTGTCGCCGGAACGCGCGCCTTATGTCGGAGAGGGGCGCGTCACGCGCCACTCCGAGGATCGCGTACGGGTCGAGGTTTTGTGTGGCGAGGACGTCGTCGTCGATCACTTCTCGGAATCGTTCCTCCGCCTCGTCCGGCGACGACTCTCGCAGCGCCGCCGGCTCCGCCGCCGTCGCCAAGCCGGACACGCCGCACTCCTTGTCGAGGTCGGCCACGCTATAGTCGCCGAAGATCGCGTCCCAGCTCTCCTCAAACGGCGTGGCGGCCGTGGCCGCGGCCGATTGGGCTCCGGTCGCCTCCTCGTAGATGCCATCGATGAGCTCCTGCACACGCTGGTCTGCCTCGCGCCGGCGCACGGCACCGGACGCCTGGCGCCGCTCGAGGCGCCTGAGGTAGAGCGGGTTCAGGCCGACGCCAAACATGGGGCAGTCCGCGCACCCTCGGCTGGGGCAATTCGTGCATCGATTTCCCATCGCAAGCGAGCCATAGTAAGTGGCCTGCGTCTCGGGGACGGCCGCGTCCTGTCCCGTCCACGCTCGCTTGAACGCTGCGTAGTTGTTGAAGTCGAGGCTGCCTTCGCGCATCGCTCGCTCGCTCTCCAGAGTGACGAGGTCCTCGAACGACACGTAATGGATGCAGTTCACCGGGCACGTGTCGATGGCCTCGTCAATCAGATCTTCACTGTCGCCGCCCTGCGAGAATACGCGAGCCTTGCCAGCGAAGTCGTCATTCATGACGAACGTGTTGCGCGCCACCAGAGCGCAATTCTTGCACCCGATGCACGTCTCCTCGTCCACGTAGGTCATGCGGGCGAGCACAGGCTCGCCAGCCTCGTCCACCTCGAGCGTCTGCGAGGACGGAAGCTCCGGCGACGGCTCCTGAGAAGCTGAAGGATCGGAGTAGATGGAGTCGATCAGGTCGTCACGCCGGCCAGGCAGCCGCCAGGCGAGCGCGGCGGCGAGCATTGCCCAATTCCAGTCAACACAGCAGCTCAGTGTGGGCAGAGTCGAAGAGCTAGAGCGCGCCCCAAGGCCATCCTCATTGGAAAAAGAGAAAAAAAGAGGCCGAGGGCTTTGTTGCCTGAGCAACAACATGACTTGGAGGCAAATGATCGGAGTGGGAGTCAGAAATGTGGTCCTTGCGCGAGGGGAGCTCGATAGACTCGAGGGGCCAGGATACGCCGCGAGGACGACGGAGTTGCGCCGAAAAAGGCGAAAGAAACCGCGAGAACAAGGGACCGGCAGGCGGCGGCGTCACAGGACGAGGCAGAAGAGAACGACGCGACAGAGGAGGAAATGACAAGGGAGAGAACGACGAGAGTGGGACGACCGCGAGGTGGCATGAAGGTTGCAGCGAGAAGCGGCGAGAGACTGCGAAGAGAGATAGGAAGAGGCAGACTCCCTAGGGTGGGCGACGGCTAGCGCACCACACACCTCTCCTTAAAATCCCTGTGTGGTGGCGGCGTGCCGTCCTCCCATCCCTCCCTTGGGTGTTGTTTCTTTCTTTTTCTGCCCGCAACCCGATGCCAATCATCCGGCCCGCTGGGTGCGCTTCTGAGCTCCCCGGCCCTGGATGTGCGGTTACTGATTGCACTCCAAGTGCTCCAAGTGCTCCGCGGCTCAGCTCCCCGGTCCTGGGCGTGAGGTTGCTGACTGCACTCCAAGTGCTCCAAGTGCGTGAGTGACATGTGTAGTAGGGTGCCGACAGCCAAAACTCCGCCGCTGCCGTCCTTGACCTTGTGGCAGGCGGTGGATGAAGCGGCGGCGGTGGATGAGCTGCGAGAACTGCTCATTAAGACCCAGGCCATTCATGAGGGCGCGCTCGAGAGCGGCTGGATGCGCTGGTTGAATGGTCGAATCCACTGAGCGGCGAGGACGGTGGAAATGCGCACTCGCTGCTAACTGACAACGCGGACGGCACCGGAGGGAGGGCAAGATTCCCTCTGGCTCGGAGCAGACCCCCGGAGGCTTGCTGGCGGCATTCAGCTCGCCGGAAAACCAGTCAGTCTAAGCCATACGCGCCATGAAATGCGAGGACGCCCTCATCTATTGCGCTCTCCTGGCCGCGGCGGCGCATCGCCATCGCGCGCGGCCTGTTGACCTCGGACCCGTCCTTCGCCGCCTGCACTTACGCGCTGAGCGACGTGATGCTCCGGCAGGCGAAGGAAAAAAGAGAAAAATCACTGCGGGGTGAGTGACATCTGTGTGTCGCTCGTACGTGTGGTCATCATCTGTCCCGCGTCCACCCATACCGCGTTGGTGTCCAGTCCGAGCCTGGCTGTTCTTCACCTTTCTATACCTAACCTAACCTAGTGACAGGATGTACATGTTGTGTAACCAATGAAACCATCCTCGCCTCTCCCCTAGCTCTCCCCACAGCACACTGCTCCACAGTAGAGAGGGGACAGGTTGGAACGCGCAGGCTGCGCGCAGGCTTTGTGGGGGCCTGGTGGGGGCCTCGACGACGACGACATTGCTGTGCTTTTCACTCTCGGAGATGGATCAAACTGGTTGATTGGCACAGGGCTGTCGGGGACCGTGAGCTTGACGGTGGTCGCGCTGTCACTCGTGTCTGCGAACAGTGGCATCGCACACTTCTTCGGCGCGCGTGCTGTGTCAGCCATGTTCAGTGGCGCTCCGGCTGCCCGCCACGGCCAAGACAGAGAGCGGAGGTTCCGGTGCGCGCCTGTAATTCTTTTTTAGTTTAACACCAGCAGACCACAGCTCTCTCTCACAGGCGCACTCACACCACCACCTCCCCTCCCCTATCCTCTTCCTCCTCCTCCTCCCTCGACTCCCTCTCCCTCCGCCTCGCTCCCCTCGCCAGAAACTCCAGCTCACGAGCCATCCGCTCGTCGCGCCGCAGATCGCCGTCTCCCGCTTCGTACAGCCTCGCCAGCGCCGACAGCACGTCATACTCGCTCATGTCGCCGCCTGCCAGCCGCCGCGCCTCCTCCTCGGCCTCGTCTCGCCACGCCTCTCGCTCCGCCCCCTCGGCCCGCCCGCCATCTCCCGCCTCGTCGCGCCCGCCACCGCTCGCACCCAGCACCGCGCGGTACCACTTTGCCGCCTTGGCCGCGCTCTCCTCCACGCCCACGCCGTGCTCGTACGCGAGCGCGACCGCGCTCATCGCGCTCGCGACGCCCGCCTCCGCCGCCTGCAGCGTGTACCGAGTCGCCAACGTCTCGTCCTTTCCGAGCGGCCTCTGCAGCGAGTCCGCCAGTGCCGCCAGCACGCCCTTGCGCGGACGAACCTGCGAATGCAAGCAGGCTAGCGCCGTGATCGCGGGCAAGTGGCCGAGCGCCGCGCTCGCCGCGAGGTGGTAGAGACCTCGCGCGGGCGTCGCGAACACGCCCGGCCCCAGGCTCTCATCGCCCGATCGGACCGAGCGCGCGTGCAGCAGCGCGAGCGCAAAATGGATCGGCGCGTGCAGCCGCTCGCTGCTCTCGACGGCCGTCGCGATCGGCCTCGCGGGCGGCGCGACGATCAGAGCGAGCGGGCCCACCTCCTCGCCCGCCGCCGTGGCCGCGGGCACCGTCGCTGCCGAGGACGCGGCGTGCCGTGCGAACGGGTGCAGCCCGAGCCTCTTGCAGATCGGATTGCACTCGTGGCTCGCAAAGAAGAGCGCCATCCCTCTCAGGCCCATGTTGCCGCGCCCGAACCCCTCGCCGCTCCGCGTGTGGACCTGCGGGTCCGTGAGCATATCGCCGACGCCCTGCACGTCGACGACGATCTCCCTGCCGCGCGAATACTCAAACGTGAAGTGGCTGAACGCGTGCGGCGTGTAGCGGATGATCTCATCCGTCACATAGCCCGAGTTGGACGAGTATTTTGTGAAATCGCCCGAGAGGAATGGCTCGACGGCAAAGTGGCCGCGGCCGGGAAGCGCCAGCATCCAGCACTGAACAAAGTCGACGGGCTTGGGCACGCGCTGCGCATTGAAGGCCATCGCAAAGGCCTTGGCCTGCCCCTGCATCCGGCAGTCTGCCTCCAGCAGAGCGACGCTGTCGGGCTCATTGGCTGCATACTCCTTGGCGACGAAATTCGTGCCCGCACCGTGCCATCCTTGCTGTGCGCTTTGCAGCACCTTGCAACGGTGGCATAGGCGCATTCCGCCACGAGCAAAGGGATCACGCTCAAGCCTTACCAGGACGGCATCAGCAGTCCACGTGCGGCTCGCAGCATCATAGCGCCTCCGGACGCCGAGTGCCGTGCTGACTTGGACCTCGTTGCGCCACGGATCTGGCAGCTCTCTCGCAGCGCGTGCGGCGTCGCGCCATCGATCTGACGTCGAGGCTATGGACAATGCAACGCCACTCGGTTTTTGCAAAGCGGCCGCACTCGCGAGAGACTGCAAGCTGGCGCCGACGAGGCTGATGGCCGCCGGCACGCCATGCGCACGCACGACGGCGAGCAGCACGGCCGAGTGCAGGTCGTGGAGCTCTTCGAGGCCAAGCTGCTCGAGCGCCGGCGATTGAGGCGGAGCGCGTGGCATCGCCGTCGTACTTGGCGCTACCACCCTCCAGCGCCGCTCCCGCCGGGCGGGACGAGGATGAGCACTGCGAGGTATTGGGGATCACAATGTGACGACCAAAACGATCTTGGGGGCCAGAGGTGAGACAACAGGCCGGGGTGCACACGGTGCACACACCACAGAGGGAGAAAAGAAAGCCGCATCGCCACGAGAAGTGCGGTCTTCTGATAAACGCAGTATGGAAGATACAAAGAGACGGAGGAGCAACGAGCGCCCTGGCGTGAGCCAAAGACATCACAACAACGAGGCACGAGAGCGTGCACGACAGAGCGACAACGCAGCGCACTGCCGTCCAGTCGGCGCTGAGTCGGGAGAGAGAGAGAGATTTTTAGCAATACCAAACAACTCTAACACTCACACGTAATTTGGGGCCTGGAGCCCTGTTCACGCGCGCGCGAGACGTGCAGACAGGGTTGCCAGGTGAGTCGGCGAAGGGACGGCTGCTGCGCAAAGTGATCAGTTCTAATGAATGTACCGGGGCCCAACGGATAGATGAATCCGGGGCACCCTCCGCTCGAATCCCTGGCCGGGGGTTCGAGGTGGCCCCCACCCCCCACCCTGAGGGAGGGTGTAGAGGATGTAGAGTGTAGAGCGCTGTAGAGCTGTAGAGATGTAGAGCGCTCTGGAGCGCTGTAGAGCTGTAGAGCTCTACATCCGGCGCGGGACAGAGCGATGCAGATGTAGAGCACTGTAGAGCGCGATTTTGCTGTAGAGTTTGTTGTAGAGGCTCTACAGCGCAAACCCGCCGGGAAGGCAGTGACTCAAAGAGGTCGAGCCGCACTAGTGGGGTGTCTCCGAGCTTACACTGGAGCTCTGATGGACGGCCCTGACCATAGCGGGTCAGCAAGCCCTAAAACGGCGGGAGGGGTAGGGCTTATCGGAAGAGCTAGAGGGCTCAGCCACCCCTCCACCCCCTCCACCCTGCACCCCTCCACCCTCCCGGAGCGAGAGAGGTCCGTCCTCGAGCCCTCCCACTTCCACCCCTCCGACCGGAGGGCTCGCCAGCCCACAGGGCTGGAGGGGTCCCCGTCGGATCGGCGTCGGGAGGGCTCCACAGGGCTAACCCCCTCCCCGGACGCCGGGTGGGCTCGGAGGGACGGTCGGACAAGGGAGGATCTTCGTGGCGGTAGGGCTCGAGAGGGGTCGGAAGGGCCCTCCGGGAGGGGTCGCAAAAAGATAAAAAAACGAAGTCGCGGCTTATGTGACTGCCCCCCAAGAGGGCTCGGAGGGCTCGAGCTTCCGAGCCCTCCAGACCCCTCCGAGCCCTACTGGAGCCCTCCAGCCCTCCGAGCCCTCCGAGCCCTCCGAGCCCTCCGAGCCCTCCGAGCCCTCCGAGCCCCCCGAGCCCGGTTCGGCGGCTCGCCCCTCCGAGCCCTCCGGGCACTCCATCCCTTGTGAGCCCTCCCGAGCCCTCACGAGCCCACCAGCGCCACCCTCGTGCCTCTCTGCCCTCTGAGCCCTCCGACCCCTCCGAGCTCTCCACCCCTCCCAAGCCCTCACGAGCCCTCCTACGCCTCGCTTTTGGCCAGCCCTCCCAGCCCCCACCCCTCCTGGGCCCTGCCGCCTGACACCTCTGCCGGTGGAGGGCTTTAGGTCACGGTCCACACTCCCGCCCTCCCGACCCCTCCACACCCCTACAGCGGCACCCCTACCCCTCCCGCCGTTTTAGGGCCTCCTGACCCGCACTCGCCCTGACTATCCCCCTCCGCTCGAACCCCTAGTCGAGGTGGCCCCCACCTGGGGCCGTCCATCAAAGGGACTGCGGCAGAAGACGCCCAATCTTGCACACGTGCAAGAACCATACTTTCGTACGCGAGTTTTTCTTTATTTCCCTCTACTCGAGTAAGAAAAAACATGCGGATGGCGCTGAACGGGACCGCGCCGCGCGACGAAATATCTGCGAGCGTGCGAGCGGTGGCTGCGGCGGCAATCCAGGCGGCCGCATCGGCCTCGAGTCGCGACAGCGCGTGCGATGGTATTGCGAATCTGAACGGCAACGGCTTGACGCGAGCGCCTGCAGTTGCCGTCAGCCTTGAGGTGGGTGCCGGGCAGCGTGTCATCGTTCGAGTACAGTATCTACCAGCAACTACTGGGGGCGAGCCCCAGTGGCTGACCCAGGCGGAGGAGAATCTGCAGGCGTCTGACCCGGCAGCGGAGAAGTGGGAAGCTACAGAGGCGGAGGCAGAGGCGGAGGCGGAGGCGGAGGCAGAGGTCGCAGGGGAGGACGCGGTGACGGCAGAGGTGACCGCGACGGGAGCGGTGACGACGGCAGAGGCAGGATCGGAGGCACTAGCAGACGGACCTGCGGCGGAGGAGGGGGGGGCAGCGCCAGAGGAGGCAGTGGCTGCCGAGGTGAGGAAGGGGCAAGTGGGGGCGGCGGCGGAGGACGCGTCGCATCGCGTTGTGCCGCGCGAGGCGGCGAGAGGTCTGCCGGCGCGTCCCGGCCTTGAGATGCTCCTTCGGCGACAGCACGACGCGCGCGTCGATGCGGCAAAATCGACTCGGCTGTACTTGATGATGGGGCGGCGCGTGCGCGCGGCAGCAGCCTTGCGCATCCAAGCCATGTGCCGCGGCCGACTGGCGCGCATTCTCACGGAGAGGCTCCGCGCCGCCAGGGTTGCGGCCGCGTGGGTCGTAAAGACCACCGCGGACGGCCGCCGCTTCTACTACAATCGGCTGACCAAGCAGCGGCAGTGGAAGATGCCAGAGCTCAAGGCTCGCCTTGCAGGGCAAAAGGAGGCTCCTAGTGGCAAGGAGGCGAGGCCCGCGCCCGCGGCAGCGAGCGCCGCGCTTGCGGGGACGTCACCAGTTGAGGTGGATGTGCGGCGCGCCCACGCTCACACATCTGCATCCCAAAGCGCCGCACCGGTCTCCAAGCGCCACATGTTTCGGCCCGCCGCCCCGCCCGCTGCCGGAGCCGGCGGCCGCACGGCCGCGGTGGCACCTAGTAGCAGCGAGGCGGCCGCGTGGGTCGTAAAGACCACCGCGGACGGCCGCCGCTTCTACTACAATCGGCTCACCAAGCAGCGGCAGTGGAAGATGCCGGCGGAGCTACGGGCGGCGGCTGCCGCTGCCAGGGCCACTCCCGACACTCTCGGGATGAGCTCATGTGGGGCAACGGGCGAGAGGGCGGTGGCGACACCGCCCGGGACGAGTCGCGGAGCGTCTCCGCTGGCGGCGTCCCCTTCTCCGCGAGATGACGGCACACCCACCACGCACGGCAGGGGCAACTCCAGCGAGGAACCGTCTCCACCCTCGAGTGACGCGCTCCCGCCGCCAAAGCTCGAGCCCTCGCCGCCTTCGCCTCCTTCGACTGCGCCGCCGCCACCACCGCCGCCGCCGCCGCCGCCGCCGAGACCGCCTGTGGTAGCGACGGAGTCGTACGAGTCGGACGGGGCCTCTCCCGCCCCGGGGCGCAGCGGCGAGGACGAATTCTACCTGGACGAGGATGGCGTGCGCGTGCGCAAGCCGGGCCTCGAGCGCGCGTATCTCGGCCTCGACATCGACTCCGAG